AAAAAAAAAAAACAAAAAAGCCATTGGGTAAACCATGAAATTGTAAAATTTGGAGAAAGAACAACGTATATAACAAACTGTGTTCAACGATACCGTCATTCCAGCAGCGTCTTTACCATCTCCAAAATCGGCCAAAAAAAAAGCTTAAAGTTTGAAGCAGCAGCAACAGCAGCAGCAGCTGCAGCAAGAAAACTTGAAGCTTAACACAGCTGCTACTACATCACTTTATTCCCTTCGTCATTCCCCTTTTCTTTCTCTCTTTTTCCTCTCTTCCTTCAAGTGTTTCCGGTTGTTCCATTTTAAGTAAACATCATTCGTAAAAATCACCAAAAACTGCAATATGCGCCTAAAATTAAGGTCGCTATTTGTAGTTGCTTCTATTTTCGATGTTGCACTCCTGGGTGCTGCCACTACCACAGATGACCGTAGCTTTCAAGGTGCGTCTAATTTTGTGCTTAATTTTTACTCTAATTAATTTGACAATCTTAGAAATTGTTTAGTTTGAGCTTTTGCTTAGTTTTTTTCTATCAGATTTTTATTCTGCTTTTACCAGTTGCTTCATTGCTAAATTATAGTGCTTTAGAAATGTTATAAGTATCAACTGTGCCAACATTTACAGCAGTTATCGTCAAGCTTTTTTTCTTCTGTATATTTCTACGTCTTTTTCGAGCAAATTCAACACATCTGAGACAGATTTAAAAATTTATTATTTGATACTTTCAAATAATTGACTGTACAGTAAGTACTATGAGAAAGAATTATGATATTTGTTAGCTGATTTTAACACTAATTTTGTACTTTTGATAACTGTGAGTACAAAAGAGATGTTACCAAGTTCGAAATTTGCTAGAGAAAATAATTTTTTTTTTTGGTTTTAAACAAGTTACATCTAATTTACTAATTAACAAATAAATGTTAATTGATAACCAACAAAAAACCAATACCAAAAATTTTTATATAAACTCTCTTTTTCTCAAATTTATTATAAAGCGATCGACATTAACAAATTGTATTCAGTTTTATATAGGCAAAATTTTTCAAAGCTGATTTCATCAATTTTAGTTTGCCAACAAAAAATTAATAGTTTATTTTAAAAAGATCACGATAAAGATTTATTTGCTAAACTTTTGTCAGTATTTGTTTACATTAAAGTGCATAAA